GTAGCTAGGCCTATGGGTCGTTCTATATTACTTACAGTAAACTGCTTGGCCTATGGGTCGTTCTGTATTATTTACAGTAAACTGCTTGGCCTATGGGTCGTTCTATATTACTTACAGTAAACTGCTTGTTTACTGTAAGTAATACAGAATGACCCATAGGCCAAGCAGTTTACTGTAAATAATACAGAACGACTCATAGGCCAAGCAGTTTACTGTAAGTAATACAGAATGACCCATAGGCCAAGCAGTTTACTGTAAATAATACAGAACGACCCATAGGCCAAGCAGTTTACTGTAAGTAATATAGAACGACCCATAGGCCGGGCTATCTGCGCTAGCCGTCCCTAATTTAGCAGTGTAAGACTAGAGGGAAGGCAGCTAGTCATCACCACCCACCGCCAACTCTTGGGCTACTCTTTTACCAACGAATAGTGGGATTGACCGTCACATTATAACGCCCTCTCGGCTGAAAGGGAGAGCATGTTTGGTGTGACGGGGATTCGAACCCGCGACCCTCGGATTAATTTTTTGTGGAATATTTTTATTAAGAATAACATTAGAATTATTATCTGGCATGACTTTATGTGTTAAAAACCGTGCCCACAACGAGACTCGGATGCATATATGCGAATAACTGATATTTATTTAATATGTTGTTTTATTGCCACTACTGTAGTTATTCTCTATCAAATGACTTATCTCGTTGTAATTTCGACATCTGGTACAGTTTTTTTTATATTTCTTAACACACTAACTTTTTATAAATATTATTCTTACTATCTAGTAATGCTGTTTCTTATCGTTTCTTTTCAGTCCCTTTGAAGTTTTGATACTCGCGGTGGGCATACCAGAAATAGCCCATTATTTAGCTTTGTAATTAACAACAAACAAACCTTACAGTTGTTGATATATGTCTATGTTTACATGTATCCATATCACAATTTTGTATAACATTTCTCTAACATTATTAATTATGAGGTTAATAACGTTTTATAACGTATATTATTGAAATATAGAAACGAGGAAATATATTATTAAAACAATTATTTAAGTCTTACAACTAACATGTCCACGTCAGCAAGTAAATATTCTAATTTATTACAAAATATACAGCAAATCTAAATAAGTGAGAATTTACTAAACTCCTTGAAATTAATGTTTAGAATTAATAAAGCTATTATATGTACAGAAACTAATAAGCTGTTTATTAGAAAGCATTGTGAAATTAGGTAAATCAAGTCATAAATTTATAAATTAATCAAACGATAGATTCAAGACTTTAACCACGTTGTTCGAAAGAATGTTTGTACACAGATTTAATGTTTGTAAAATTAAATATGTCTATAATAGGTTAACCTACTGTTTCATAACGAGTTTTATTGAACTAGTAATAAACCTAAATTTAATTAGATTTGATGTATGAGAATTCTGAAAATACATTAGATTAGGAAGTAATGTTTTAAAAGCTGTAGTAATACTAGTTACAACTAGTTTAGCTGCTTTATTTGTAGCCTATAAATCATCAGTATAATTCAGCTCTCTAAATATCAAATTTGTACATAATATTTTTAAAATATCCAAATTAAATCCCGTTTTATATAATATATATAATATCAGAAACAAATATACTTTCAATCCTGTAATTTTAGATCTTCATAGGGTCAAAATAGTCAGAACGATATTAATAACGAAGAAATAATCAATAATAACAATTAACACCTGCACCCCAGTGGCACAGCGGTATGTCTGCGGACTTACAACGCTAGAATCCGGGTTTCGATACCCGTGGTGGACAGAGTACAGATAGCCCATTGTGTAGCTTTGTGCTTATTTACAAACAAACAATTAACCCGTATCTATAAAGATTGCATAAAGTTATGCCAATTTTGACATTTGAAAGAAAGAGATCGAAGCGATGGATTCTTTTTAATTTGATTTCTAATATTCTGAGTAAATATGGATAAAAACGAGAACTCCGTGCATTAAAGATAGAAAAGTAATCCTAAGGTACAAACAACAATGTGAGAAAGGTTAAATGTTATACGTGTATCTTATATATTACATGGCATATTATTATCAAATTACAATAAGTTAGTTAAGATAAATCTTAGTTGACAAAAAAACAAAGTAATCAATAATCTATATATAATATAGGGTTAAACAACCTATAATGACGGAAAAACTGAAAAAAATAGACGTAAGTCGTGAAGTAATAATAGAAACACTACCACCTTATAAAAATAACACAGGCCTGCGAATTTAAACTTCATAAAAGTTGTTTTGGTTTTAATAACGAATTTTCCATAATTCAGCTACGCAGATTTTGAAAATAATATTCATTTTTTTCTATTACGTAAGGATGTTTTACAAATCGGGAAGAAGAAGAAAAAATCTTACTTAGATCAAGTTATTATTTCGTTTACCACAATGAACATTTCTTATTATTATGTTTGTTAACCAAAATACAAACAAACT